TTCACCAAAGCCATCTACACACCAGGTCAGAAGACTGTTCCCTGTAAGGTAATGGGAATTCTGCTAAAACCTCTAATACCAACTCCCACAGCCTTTCCTTTTTATGACTCAGGTAGCAGAGCAGTCAACCCAATGATGATCTTGGCAACAGCTTTCTTGACTCTTAAAGGAAAACAAGTCTAGCATACATAAAACTGGTACTACTCCCAACCAGTCAAGGATTTCACAGTTAGAGTACCAATAGCTAAATTGAAATTTGTTGGTATGTAAAAACTGTGTAATTCTTAGCACCCTCTGACACCTTTTCCATCATTCTAACAGCATCACTGAAGAAGGACAGAGGGCTTACAGGACTGAGTGTCATTTAATATTTTTCTTTGTTTCATAGGTTACAATGGCCAAAGAAAGTCATCACTAATTGAACAACCTACTGGTGATTTGCCTCTCCATTAGCTAAGTGGGTGCTTGGAAAACAGACTAAATCTTTTGCTGGATAAGTACAATACAATACAGGGTATTATGAAAACACAAGAGAAAGTGAGACAAAGTGCTATTGAAGAAGAGAACACTTTCATCTGGAGGAATAGGGGAATGGTCTTTGCGCTGAGCCTTTAAGGAGGAGAAAGATTCTGAAAGACAGAAATGAAGAGGGAGTACATTCCAGTTATGGGGGATGGTCTGCCTGAGTGCACCAAAGCAGGAGATGACATGTCAGGTTTAGAGAACAGGTACAGTGGTAATTCAGTTTGGCAAATGAGAATATCCCCATTTTACAGATAAGGAAACCAAGACCTATAACTTGCCTAGGAGCATGTAAATCCTTGGAATGATTTTCAAACCCAAGCCTTCTTTCTGACTTGAAGTCCATTGCTCTTTCCCTTAAATGGCCCTGTCCTCTCTTGATGTGGTATCGTGAGTACAAATGTTTAGCTTTTTGTGCCATATCTCAGAAAAGAAATAGAAGGGCTACACTTGGTCTAGAAAAGAATGATGAAAATAATCAGGGGAGTGGATGGACAGCTGAATAAATGGGGCTCCCTATCCCCAAAAGAGGAAAGCTCACAAATAATGCCACTTAAGTTTATAGCATCATGAGATATATTGATAGAATAAACATGGACTTACTGTTAAATCTTGGCTGTTAGAACCAGGGAACATCTCCTTGAAATTTCAAGGGTATAGTGTGAGGACAAATGAAAGAAAGTTGTTTATATTAAGCTTTTGGAACTCATTATCCCAAGGAACTGAAGATATAAATAGATTTAAGAATAGTTAGATCGACTCACACATGATTTGATAATGGTTCATTAAGAGCAGCTAGAAATATTTGGTTTACATACTTAACCTTTTGAGCTTGGCATCACAGAGGGAAAATAACATATTTTCCCAAAATAAATAGAATCTCCTGTTATCACTACTTAGAGATGGAGTTTTGGGCTGGATAAAACTGTTGTGACCCAATATGGTATTTTTTTTGTCTTCTTAATGATGTTGAGTGACAGTGGCTTCTATCATAATGTCATCTTCGTGTCTTAACACATGGAAGAATCTTCTCAAAAGAGATCTTTGAGTGATATACAAAAACTGGCTGCTGCTGATGGACTGAATTATCCTGACTTGACTGTCAAAGGAAGGTCTGGTGAAGGAGGCAGCTAGAATGGCTGTCTCCTACTGGGTAGTTCAGTTTCCTTCCTCTGGATAAGTTCCAGCTCTTGAATGTCCTTCTGAAAGTGTGGCATCCAGAACTATGCATACTACTCCCGGGATGGCCTGAGTTTTTTTTTTTTCCCAAAGGGAAGATTTAGGAGAACTGGGTAAAAGGCAGATATACCCTAGAAAAGATACTTTTTGAGGCACAGTGTTGACTAGTTGCACCTGAGATATCATCCAATTGGGAAATTCTGGGATCCTAGGACTTGGCTGTTGTTTGAAAATGAAACTCTTGGGAGTATTTGAGTCTTTCTCCCAGTTGTTGCAATAATAACTTCAAGCCCTACTGTCTGTCCCATACAGACAAGAATCAGGTGTTCCTGAGGATCTATGTATTGATGTGGAAGAGAGCATAGGATGAAACAGGTCCCAATCAAAATATCTTTCCATCAGAGACTCTGCTGGAAAAAATCTAGAAGATGGAGAATTCTGAATTATATTTGCTATTGTGTGGTATGAAGCGAGAGTCAAAAGGGAGTTATCTGTCTAGTTCCACCATCAAGTTTTGAGACCCTCAGCAAACTACTTAACCTTTTTTTTCCTGCCTGGTCAAGGTCAAGCTGCCACTCGCTTTACATAAATGAGGATAGTATCATTGTACATATGGAAACATTTATTCCATTTGGTAGAGTCAAAGAGAAGTTATTTGTAAAGAGCACAAATCTCATATCAGTCACAGAATGTCAGAGTTCAAAGGGAACCCAGGAACAACCTAGTCAATACTGCTTATTTTACAGATTGGGAAAATGGCACCCAATCACTTGTCCAAGGTCACGCACCTGTCTTGTGGTGGCAGAGTTGACACTCAGACACTTAACCTAGTTTAAGGATATTTTAATCATGTTTCTTTGGAGGACTTTTCCATTCCTAGGTGCTAAAATAGAAGAATGAAAAGTCCTCCAAAGTCATAGAATGTAAGCTGCTTGAGGGAATAGATAATGTCATTTTTTGTTTTTGTATAAATGCTTATTGATATAATTGATATAATTAATGTCAAGCTTCCCAGGAGGCTCCATCTAAGTAATTCAAGATGAAAGCTCTCCTAGAGAGATCTTTATTCCTGCCTTCATTAATCCCTCAGGAAGTTCTTCCTGGGCCTAATCTTGAATGTACTTCTGTCTCCACATTTTGACCTTCCCTCCCACTTGAAAACAGCTTGGAGTAAGCCTCATTTGTGTATGGATTGTAAATCTTTTGAAGGATTATAAACCCAAATTAGGGTAAATTAGTTTTGCAGATACACATTTTTCAGTCAATGAGTCTACAAAATATAGCAGTCTATAAAATATTCACCTATCCTTTTGACCATACCAGTATCTTATCAATAAAGTGCCTGATGACAAACAGTAATAATAATAACATGAAGAACAAGTTTGGTGCTAGGGAAGAGGAGGAGTTACATTTTCAATTTTAAAATTCTTGTGTACATCTTGATTTAATTTGAGCTCAGACTGATTTATCTTGGGCCCTTAGCATGGGGATGTGGACTGAGCCAGATAAACCATTGTAGGGTAACTGAATGAAAAAAAATTGAATGGTAAACTAAAAGATTAAATCTAATTCTTAGGTTTCTAAAATTCTTTAAAAAACAAGGGCTTAATTGGGGACAGAAACAATTAAGTAGGTTGCTACTGAATTTTTAACCGATTTCCTGCTAAAAATGAAAAGGTGAGAAAGCCTTCTTGAAAAACTTTTCTATACAATCCTGAAACATGATCTCAAATTGAGGCTGTATCTGCTACTAAAAGTGCTAAATGATTTCTTCTTTGGGAAGTATTAAAAAAAAAATTATGCCCTCTAATCCTGAGAAAAGGATAATGCAATTTATCTGTTCTCTTCCTACTGTATCCTGATGTTTCTTTCCCTCTACTGACATTTTGTTCTCTGCATTCCTTTCTCTGCTTAACATTCTCTTGGAAGATTAGGGCAGGGAAGGGGGAGTGTGTGTGTGTGGGGTGTGTGTGTGTGTGTGTGTGTGTGTGTGTGTGTGTGTGTAATGGGCTAAAGGATAAAATAAAAATGAGTGTGGGTTGAATTATGGTTCCTCCATATTGCTTTATTGGTCTCTGGGTGTATATACAATAGGTGAGTCATAAAGGCACATATCAGTTTTAGGTGGAAGTTGTTCATGATGGTTTTATTACTCATATGTACAATAGGAAACTGTAATTCCCATTTTTTTTGAGAAGGGAAACATTTTGTTGTACATAAATATTTTATCTGTGAGAGTTCTGAAAATCTTTTCTTATACTACTGTTTCTTGCTCAACAGTAAAGGAAGACAGTTATTGACGTTGGCTGCAAACACTTTACATGTACTGTTAAGGTATATTCACTTTTTATCTAGAACACTATAAGATGCATTCTCTGGAAATAAGCAAATTGCATATAAGTCATATTTCTATTGCCATTTTCTATCTGGGGATGTGTACCTGCAACTTTTTTTTATTGAAGGGAAAGCTGTGTGGGCTTGTTTGGCTCAGATCAAGCCACTGTTAAATTCTTGTCTTGCCTCTGATACTATCATGCTCAGCTTGGAACAAGTTATTTTATCTTGCCTCTATTTTTGTAATATATTAAATAAAGATATTTGCAAACTACCTTATAGGATTTTCATTAGAAATTTTAAAAAAACCGACTTCAAAACTATTTAATGAGTTATATGCCATACTTACTAGCATGATTTCCCAGTTTCCCTTGAACACATCTGGGTTCTGTTCTGTCACCATTCTTGGCCTGGAGAGAGAAATGCTTAAAAGCATGGAATTACAATGGAGACTGTGCGAAGGTGTCTGTGTGTACAAGCTAGCATGTTTTCAAGAGTGTCCTGGAGAGGGCATGCAAAGCGACTGAAAAGTAGTGTTTACATTTAGGATTTTCTTTCTTTTCAAGTGTCAAAGGTGGAGCTTAAGAAGTGCCTTTGGTTTTAAGGAAGGGGAGGACCAGGAAGACACTGCAGGCCGTTTTGTTTTGTTCTGATGGTACCTTGATTCCCAGAAAAACCAACCAAGTAAACAAACAAAAAAACAAAACAAAACAAAACAAAAAACTCCACAACAACAACAAAAACCCCCACTAAAAAACAAAACAAAACAAACAAAAACCCAAACCCAGACTTATTCCCTGAACAAGTCAGCTCAGAGATAGTTATCAAAGTTAAATGCTGGTCAAACATGGCCCTTGCTTATTGCTCAAGGTGAGAGGGAGACAGATATGGAACTGGAAAAGGATGACAGTATGGGTTCCGGACAGAGAGGAGTATGGGATTAAGTGTTGACTCTCTCCTTCTAGCTCAACCAATTGCCAGCAGTTGGGTAGTGTGTTGCCAATTTAATTTACTTTGGTTACTCTTGGAGGACAAAGTGCAGCAGTCTATGCAAAGAATTCCCTGAGGAAATTCGGTAAGTAAGGTGCTCCCAGCTGTGAAACTGATTGATTGTTTTAAAGCTCCCAAAGAGCCTTTGCTGGCAGCCATAGATGTTTGAATTAAACCAAAAAAAAAAAAGTATTTGCACCAAGAGGCAGGATTCTGGGAGATTATGGCCAATACTTAAAGGATCAGTGATTTATCAGAGTGGGCCTTCCCTCTTGCCTTGCACATTGTAACCCCTCTATGGCTTAATGAGTTGTTATGGCTGAAAAATTCACCAGCCTATATAGGGCAACGTGGTGCAAACCCTCTGATGATTGACAGGCACACAATCTCATCACACGAACTCTATATTTATAAAGTGATTAGTACAGTGTCTGGCACATAACAGGTCCTTAATAAATGCTTGTTTCCTTTCTTCCTTCCATTCCTTTTTCCTTCTCTCTCTCCCTCCCTTTCTTTCTCCTTTCCTTCCTTCCTTCCTTCCTTCCTTCCTTCCTTCCTTCCTTCCTTCCTTCCTTCCTTCCTTCCTTCCTTCCTTCCTTCCTTCCTTCCTTCCTTCCTTCCTTCCTGCTTGTCAGTAACTGCTAGAGTTTATTTTACTAGCATAACCTTTGAGAATCCTCGGTTTCCTTCCTACTAAGATGAGGCATCAGAAGAGAAAAGAGGAGGAAGAGATTATGTAGGAGGAATTTTTCCTTATTTTTTCCAAAAAAAAAAGTAACAGGTGCTTGAGCAGGGTGGAAGTAGGATTTGGGGGGGGCAGCTAGGTGGTGCAGTGGATAGAGCATCAGCCCTGGGTTCAGGAGGACCTGAGTTCAAATCTGGCCTCAGACACATAACACTTACTAGTTATGTGATCCTGGGCAAGTCACTTAACCCCACTGCCGAGCCAAAACAAAAAAAAGGATTTGGGAGGCAATGGAAGGGGAATAGAAGGCAATGAAATAAGTAAATGCTTCATTCTGTCCAGTCTTCCTTCAGTTGAAGGAGTTAGAAATCTCTCTATGGTCTGCAGGAGAGGGTATGTCAAAATATTATTAGATAGATAACTGTGAAGACATAGGTTTGATGCTGCCTCAGACACTTCCTGTGTGTCCTTGGGTAAGTCACTTAACATTTCTAAGTTTCAACCTAAGTAGACTGGCACTGTATGTGGTTATCCCTTCCACATCACCAGGGTTAGGGGTGCAGTGCCCCCTCAATCTGGAAAATTCAAGTAAAATTTTTTGGTCCTCCCTTCATACCAGGTCTGATTTTTTTTCTTTTTCTTTTATGGGGTGTTTACAGTCCCTTGTTGTGAAATTTGGGTTAAAATTATGCAATACTATGCATATATTTACACATTTCTGAGTTTCTAAATGTTTTCTGTGTCATCTCCTGGCCTTTGTGTGTCATCTGTGGATTCTGCAAAACTCCCCCCAAATTCCCCTTTAATTTTTTATGCTGACCCAAGATATATGGGTCAATGGGGAGAGTTGTGATATGGAAGGATAACTGTACATTGTTCTCCTGGTTCTGCTTACTTCACTCTGCATCAGTTCTGTCCTTGACAAAAATTGCAAAGTTTAGAGGAGGACCAGTTTAGGAAAAGAATATGATGACTTTGCTTTGGACATCCCAGTGGAGAGGTCCAAAAGGCAGCTATCTAAAAGGGCTGTTGTGAGGATCAGATGAAATAATGTATTCAAAGCATTTGGCAAACCTTAAACCTTAAATGTGAGCTATATTGTTGTTACCACCCTCTGTAAGCAGAAAATGCCAATATATAATATTCAACAAATATTGTCAATCATATATATGGCACTTGAGAATATTTAAAAATTTATTGTTCATCTTTACATTTCAAATTATCCAAGAAAACCTTAAAAAACTAAATTGAAATTTAGACAATTGGGGTTAAGTGACTTGCCCAGGGTCACACAGCTAGTAAGTGTCAAGTGTCCTGACTTCAGGGCCAGTGCTCTATCTACTGTGCCACCTAGCTGTCCCCTAAACTGAATTTTGAAAAAGGCTCTTGGTTGATATTCTTTTTCTTTTTTTTTTGTCTGAACCTGTGATGGACAAATATATTTATAGATGCTCTTTTTGTTGTAGCAAAGTAGTAGAAAAATAACAGTGTCCATCAATTGGATGAGTGCAATTGAATATTATTGTGCCATAAGACATGATGAAAGGGAAACCTAGGAAGACTTATATGAAGTAATGCAAAATATTCCCCTTTTTCTTCTCTGATACTGCCACCACCCTGGTGTAGATCCTCATCACCATACCTGGATTACTACTAAAACCTTCTAGCTAGTTGTCCAGCCATGAGTTTCTCCTCGCTTCAGTCCATCCTCCATTCAGTTGCCTAAGAGATTTTCTTGAAGAGTTGATCCTCCCTATATTCAATAAACTCCCATGGCTCCCTATTACCTCCATGATCAAATGCAAAATCCTCTGTGGGGTGTTTAACTCTACTCCCCTCCCCCTAAACACACACACACACACACACACACACACACACACACACACACACGCACCCCCCCCCACACACACACCACACACACTTTCAGCCCTGCACATAACTTTTTCCAACCAGTGACACTTGCCTTCTTAATTTCCTTCTCACAAGAAACTCCGTCCCCTGGCTGCGGATATTTTCTCTGGGTGTCCCCCATGCCTGGAATGCTCCCTCCTCATCTCTGCCTCCTGGCTTTCCTGGCTTCCTTCAAGTCCCAACTGAAACCACACCTCTTTTCCCAATCCTTCTTGATTTTAGTGCCTTCCCTCCATTAATTATTTCCTATTTATCCTGTATATAGTTGTTTGTACATATTTATTTCCTTCTTCTCTCTTCCATTAGATTGTGAGCTCCCTGAGAGCAGGGACTGTCTTTTGCTTTTCTTAGTATCTTAGTCTCTTATTCACAGTGCCTGACCCAGTGGGTGCTAAATAAATGCTTATTGACTAACTGAAGTGAGCAGAGCCAGGAGAATTTTTTTTTTTACAATAACAACATTGTTAAGAGAAACACTTTGAAAAACCTAAGAATTGAGAAAAGACTTGATTGATGCAATTAGCTACCTTGTCTCCAGAGGACTGCTGCCCACCTTTGGACAGAGAAGCAGTGAAGTCAAGGTGTAGAATAAAACACACATTATGGGTGATGGAAAAGGTATGGATTTTTTATGCTTGGCTATCCTTATAAGGATGCTGTTTCCTTTTTTTTATTTTGAAGGGTGGAGGAATATGAAAGCTAGTAGTAATGTCCTCCTTCCCCCTCCACCCAAAAAAAAAGTGAAAGTAAAGGTCATAAGTATTTTTTTAATGAACTTGAGAGAAAGGAAGGAAATTCAGAGAGAGAGAGACAAGCAGAGCAGCTCTGAAAATAATATATTGAATTTATTATATACTTTTTAAAAAAAAGTAAGATGTACATAATAGAGATTTGTGTCTGCACATATAATTAGCTTTTTCTGTTCTGTTTTGAATATGGAAATGCTCTTTTTTGATGTTTGTTAAATTCAGAATTTTGAAACAATTAAAATGTTTTAAGAATATTTCAAAATTTGTTGTTCATCTGGTCATTCTGAATCATCCATGAACAGCTAAACAAATTACTAAATTTAATATACTAATAAGCTATTAGTTGTTTTCCTTGTTGTTGTTGTTGTTATTGTTGGGTCTGAACCTCTGATTTCAATGGTCTAAAGAATTCCCAATGAGGAAAATCCCTCTGCCAATTCATATCATTAATTCTTCTGCAATTTATAGATTTAAAGAGCTGCCTAAGAGCACTGAGAGGTTAAGTGTCTTCCTTGGGGATTACACAGCCATTACGTGTCAGAGGTGAGAACTGAGTCTGGGTCATAGTTTTGCCTTTGACAGAAACAGAGAATTTTAGAGAAGTTTCAGGTTAAGGAAATAAGAATAGTCTGACTTTCAGATGCCAACAGGACATCTGGTAAAGATGTCCAGCAGGCAGTTATTCCCACTGAAGTTCTTTCTATCTCCTGTTGCCAAATTCTTGACCAAAGGTGGTAAACCCAACCAAATCTCTTTGCTAAATCAGAAGGTATCAATGAAAACTGTGGCAACTTTTATTCCATTTCAAATCCACTACAGATTAACAGTACAAGTAAGCCCTTTCTACTGTTACCATGACTACTGCTATTTTGTAATAACATCACTTCTACATTATAACCAAATATACTCCATTGAAGAAGGCTTTGGCCATTAACCTGAAATAGTCTAGATTGTTGGTGAACAGCTGTGTACCAGTCTGCTTACCTTCCCTCTGTTGCTTACTCTGTGTGGATAAACATTATTCTTGTGGAATTAGCCTATAATATTATTTCACTTAATGTTATGACATTAGGTGAGATATCCTTGGAAACATTTGATAGGATGAGGAATTCAGACCGTGTATCTCTGTATCTTCCTGGACTCATTAGAACAGTTATTCATAATTACTCATTTATTTAATGAATTTGGTTTAAAAGTGTAGGAGAGCCTAAGAGAGGAGTGAGCAAAGGATTTAGTTCAATTCAATTCATTGAATTTAGCAGACACTGATTTTTCTCCCTAATCCTGAATACAGAGGTGGCTATAGGAAATAAATTTATATCTCTCGATCTCCAAGGTCCCTTTTAGTTATGTCTATATGATTTCTGCATTTCTTAAACAAATGATTCAAATATTATAACTCAGATCTTCACAGAGTCTTACTATGATGCTTCATCATGGCATAAAGGTGACTTTTAGATCTTGAAGGCTATACTAATGGAATCCATGTTCTAGCAGTTTCTATTCTCACAAAGATTTCAAGAGTAGTTCTGGAAACAGAGTCTGTTTTCTTAGAATCAACTGACTTACTAAGTATGGACAGGTTTATCAGTCAATTGATGCATCAAAACCTAAGTGCCTTCTATGTGCCAAGCACTTTGCTAGGTGCTTGAGAGCCAACGAATAAAAGCAATTCCTGCAGTCAAGGAGCTCACACTCTAATGGAGGTACAAGAAGAACCTAAATTTATTCTATGTAATT